CTTTGGGAGCCAATCACCGAAGGTCAGTAGTTCACGACCATTCTGGCCAACATGGTGAAACCCAGTCTGTAGTAAAAATACTAAAAAATTAAGCCAGACGTGGTGGCGTGCACCTGTAGTTCCAGCTGCTCAGCAGGCTGAGGCAGGAGAATCACATGGACTTGGGAGGTAGAGGTTGCAGTGAATCGAAACGATACCACTGCCCTAGAGTCTGGGGGGCAGAGCAGGTCTTCATCTCAGAAAAACAAAGAAACAACAACAACAAAAAATGAAAGCAAAAGGGACATCGAAAGTGCTTTTGTTCTCATTGTGTAACATATTTTCTTTCTGGTTCCTCTTCATTTCTTTCTTTCCTTCTTTTTTTTTTTTTTGCAGTTTTACTTTGAGATAAATCTTGGTTTTAAATATTTCTTTTTTAATCCATAATCACTTCTGAAAGATGCCTTTGTGGCATCCTGTAACCAGCTCACATCGTTCCTTTCTGTACATGTATATGGTCCAGTTATTTTCCCGTTGACATCTGAATTTGTTCGATTTTTTAAAAAACAGTTTCAGAATGGTTTCTGTTTGAAATTAGTTGCGTTCGATCAGATCGAAGTCTGCATGCTTCCTAGTCTTTATTATTTATTGGAAACCTTTAACATCGAAATGTAATTTAACCAGTTACCCTATTTTTCAGTTTTCTTTCCTTATGTCATTTGTTAAAATCTTGAGCTGTGAGCTATTAAGTGCATGTTTCCCTCAAGGCACTTCTGGTCCATTTGGACAAACGTTGAAAGCCCAACTCCTCACTGTGGCTCCACAGCCCTGTGTCCAGGGCCCCTGCCAGTGTCCAGCCTCCTCCTCGGAGCTTGCCCTCATCTCATGACTCCCTCTGCCCCAGGCATATTGCTTTTCTCTTTTCCCAAACACTAAAACCCTTCCTGTCTCAGGTCGCTGTCCCTGCTGTTACCCTATGTCCCTAAATGATGACAGCCCTGTCCCTTTCTCCTCTTTCAGGTCTAGGCTGAGAGCTGTCTCCCATGCCCTCCCACCGCCATCTGAAGTTCCCTCTGCCTGTCAGTCTCTATCATGTTACTCAGATTTTATTATCTGTGCATCAGTCACATCAGAAACACTCTTCTTATTTTATTTTATGTTTTTTGAGACAGTCTCACTGTATTGTGCAGGCTATGAGTGCAGTCTCGTGACCTTCTCTCCCTGCAACCTCTATCTCCTGGGGTCAAGCGATTCTTCTGCCTCACCCTTGCAAGTAGTTGAAATTAAATGTGTGTGCCACCACACCCAGCTAATTTTTGTATTTAAATTTAAATTTAATTTAATTTAATTTAATTTAATTTTACTTTTGAGTCTCAACCTATCTCGAAGGCTGGAGTGCAGTGGCGTAATCATGGTTCACTGCAACCTCCACCTCCCAGGTTAAAGCAATTCTCCTGCCTCAGCCTCCTGAGCAGCCCGGATTTACAGACTCCCACCAAGCCCAGCTACTTTGTGTATTTTTAGTAGAGATGGAGTTTCACCATGTTGGTCAGGCTGGTCTCAAACTCCTGACCTCAAGTGATCCACCTGCCTTGGCCTCCCAGAGTGCTAGCGTTACAGGCATGAGCCACCACGCCCACCCCAACTTTTGTGTTTTTAGTAGAGACAGGGTTTCACCATGTTGGCCAGGCTGGTCTCAAACTCATGACCTCAGGTCATGAGTCTGCCTAGGCCTACCAGTGTGCTGGGATTACAGGCAAGAGCCGCCGTGCCCGCCCGGAGATGCCGTTCTGCTTGGATTATTTTGAGTGTTTTGTGTCTCCCTTTGTTGGAGGATGCACATTTCCCATCTTGGCCACAGGACAACTGCAGCACCTACTAAAAAAAAAGAAAAGAAAAGAAAAGAAATGAGCCAGGCATGGCAGTGTGCATCAGTAATCCCAGCTACTTGGGAGACTGAGGCAGGAGAATGGCTTGAACCTGGGAGGCAGAGCTTGCAGTGAGCGGAGATCGCGCCATTGCACTTCAGTGCAGTGACAGAGCAAGACTCCATCTCTATATAAATAAATAAATTTGCTATAATGAAAATGTGGAGCACAAATATGTTTTCCACAAGAGGGAACACTGGTTCCTGGGAAGGAAGTTTGAGGGTTACAGCCCTGGTCATGGCTGGAAGACTCAGGAACTGGAGGAAGGAAAAGCTGTATTTATCCTCACAGGATGCTCCTGTGCTCAGCAGTTGGTAAGACGGATGGGCTGAGCTATTGCAGTGACATTTAGAAAAGTTTTTCTGTCCACGCAGCACACACCGTCACCCACCCTATACACAGTCCTCCCTTTCCCGTTGTCTTCTCTAGAATGGCAAAGTTGGTGCTTCCCCAGGTGGGCCTCTGAGGGAGGGGAGTGGTTTCTCTGCCTGTCCTTGACCCCCTCCCTCAAGTCTTCCACCTTCCTGTCCGCTGTTCTATTCTGGCGCTCATTGCCTGCAATTCTATCAGTTTGCACCATCCCAAGACCCAACTAAGACCCGAGGATTTGCGTCTGGGAATATTTAAGCCAATGTCATTGCCAACTGAGAAGTCTTAGACCCCAGGAATTTTTCTTCATTGAGAGTCTGGGCAATAAGGAAGCCGCTCCTCTTTCTGCGGAGTTTAGGTCAACCAGGACCCTGACACACGAGACCCCAGAGAGGACATACTAGTATCGCTCATTCTCATTACTCACTCACTCAGTAGCTATGGAGCTCTAGTGTACGCCAGGGGACACAAATAGAGGTGCTGTCTGTGCCAGGCATCAACATGGCAAACCAGCAGACTGTAATTTCCTGCTTTCTCCAGGTTATTTTTCGTTTTTATTTATTTGAGGCGGAGTCTCACTCTGTCACCCAGGCTGAAGTGCAGTGGCACGATCTCGGCTCACGGCAACCTCTGTCCTCTGGGTTCAAGCGATTCTCATGTGTCAGTCTCCCAGGTAGCTGGGACTACAGGCATGCACCACCATGCCTGGCTGATTTTTTATTCATTTATTTTGAGACAGAGTTTTGATATTATATCCCAGGCTGGAGTGCAGTGCCATGATCTCGGCTCACCGCAACCTCCACTTCCCGAGTTTAAGCGGTTCTCATGCCTCAGTCTCCTGAGCAGCAGGGATTACAGGCATGTGCCACCACGCCCAGCTAATTTTTGTATTTTTGGTAGAGACAGGATATCACCATGTTGGTCAGGCTGGTGTTGAACTCCTGACCTCGTGATACACCTGCCTCAGCCTCCCAAAGTGTTGGGATTACAGGCATGAGTCACTGCACCTGGCCTCATTTTTGTATTTTTAGTAGAGATAGGGTTTCACCATGTTGGCCAGGCTGGTTTCGAACTTCTGACCTCAAGTGATCTGTCCACTTTGGCCTCCCAATGTGCTGGGATTACAGGTGTGAGTCACCGTGCCTGGCCTCATCTCATGGCTTTAAACTTTAGCCCCATGGCCCCATGGCCCCTGCAGACCTCTCCCCTGAACGCTACAGTCCTGTGTCCAGTTGACTCCTTACCTCTCTGCTGGGAGGATGAACAGGCATCTCCACCTTCACATGTCCAAAGGTGACCTCCCAAACTTCCGTAAACGCATTCCCCCGTGCTCCTGCCCTTCTCAGATGAGGTGACCATGTGCTTCCCAGGATATCACTAAAATCTCAGCATGCTTTTAAAACGTAAAGGATAATTACATTATTTGTAAGGGTTTTAATTTGTGATATAAGGAAAAAATTACATGTTTACTCAAAATGGGTGAAGAAATTCATCATTTTAAAAATTCTTTGGAGTTGTGGGAGAAAAATGTTAGAAGACCTCGTCCCTGCCTGATCTATGCCCCCAGGACCTCTCTGACGTCATCTCTTTCCTGTGTCCTCCTCCCTCCCTCTGCTTCAGCCACACAGCCGTTTTTCCTCTTCCTGGGCCGAGGTCGCTCCTGCCTCAAGGCCTTCATGGGGGCTGTCCCTCTGCTGGAACTCGCTGGCCCCTCAGCTGCAGGTGCAAACACCCCTCCTTCCCCAGGTTTCTGTTCTGATATCACCTGCTCAGTGGTGACTTCTGTGACCCACCTCCCATTTAACACTCCAGCCGCACCCTCACCCCCTCCTCTGGTCCATATTGGCTGCTCTGCATGCTGCTTTTCGTTTTTTCACCTTCCACTGCCTGTAGCAGTTTATCGTCCCTGGTGCGGTGGGCAACAGAGGGGACCGTATGTTCTCAGGGTGAGGTGTCCTTTGTATGTGTTGTTGTGTTACAGGGAGGGGGATGTGTTGATTCTGAACAATAAACAACATATTTTTAACTTTCAGGATTGGCTTCTAAAGACTCTTGGTCCATGAGGAAGAAACTCGGAAGAGGAAGAGGAAAGCAAAGGAGTCAGGGATGTCTCTTCCTCAGGTGAGATGATGTTCTTGGTGGATTGTTCTGTCTCCTTCCTTTCAGAAACACTGGGGCTTGGAGTTGGGAATCTTCTCTGAGTCTGAAGCGTCCTGTCTGACAGGTTTGCTCACACTCACCCATGCCTTCCCTCAGTCCCTCTCATCTCACTTAGATTCCATCTCTCATGACCCAGTGACATGAACTTGGGAAGAGGCTGCACTGGGCATGGGCCTGGGAAGGGCTCACACCAGACATGGATGGAGACGGGGTGAGGGTCCCGTGGTGTCAGTGCTGTTGGGCAGCAGGGATTGTTCAGGGGTCACATCTGGATGCACTGTCAGCTCTCTGTGGACCAGGATTAGAGCAGCTGCCAATGGAAGTCACGTATTCATGTGCACAACATACATGGTAAATTCTAGAAAAGGAGACCAATAA